TGTGCAAGATTAAAACTTTGCACTTTAGGAGAATCCAATGCTAGAATAAACTATAAATCATGTCATTTTTGGGCTGTTCAGCCTGGAGAAGAGAAGGCTGCGTGGAGACCTCATAGCAGCCTTCCAGTATCTGAAGGGGGCCTATAGGGATGCTGGGACTGTAGTGATAGGACAAGGGGTAACGGGTTAAAACTTTAACAGGGGAAATTTAGATTGGATATAAGAAGGAAATTCTTTCCTGTTAGGGTGGTGAGGCACTGGAATGTGTTGCCCAGGGAGGTTGTGAATGCTCCATCCCTGGCAGTGTTCAAGACCAGGTTGGACAAGGCCTTGGGTGATATGGTTTAGTGTGAGGTGTTCCTGCCCATGGCAGGGGGGTTGGAACTTAATGATCTTAAGTTCCTTTCCATCCTAACTATTCTATGATTCTATGATTTAGGAAGAATTTAAATTTCTTAACTTGTACTAACATAAGTCAACTACAAATATTCAGCACTGGTAATGAAATAATCAGATCTAGGAAGTAAAGACAAAGTACCTCTAGGCTTTTTATTTTTAAATCAGGTTTGATTAAAAGCATGGTCAAAGCAGGGAACATTTGATGAATGCCCAGAGAAAGATATTTGGCAATAGTGGAGTGGACAAAGGTATATATATTTATGTGAAATGACATTTATAAGGTCTCTCCATAGGGTTATAATAATTTCACATTACAGATATTTTAATTACATTTATAAGTGATTATGTGTAGGTTATGAATGATTATGTCTCATGAATCCATGTATTTTATTTTATTAGGTGGATTTTGATTAAGTTCTCATTCAGTGGCAACAAATAAAACTTCCATAATTAAACTAGCTTTAAAATTTGTATCTAATTATATTAGCATCAAATTATGTATTTAATGTACAGCAGTAAACTGCTGCTAAGCTATCATTGTTAATTGAACTAAGCTTAATGTTAGCAATTAGTCTCTGAGGAGGAAAAATACACATAACGTCACTGAAGTTCTTTGAGGGCATTTAAACTTTAAGCCAAGAGCATGGCAAAATGAGATAGGCTCTACTGAAAAAAGAAGGGTAGCACACTTCAACCCAGGGACATTTTAAAGAGAGCTGGTAGGACATTTCATTCCAATACATAAATGAAAACAAACAGCACCGCTACCTGGGATTTACCTTCATTCTCTCACACTGAGCCTTCACTTCAAGAACACAGAAATCTTTCAGCTGACTTTTTCTGACTCCTCTCTGTAGAAAGCCCTAATAATCAGGTTAACCCTATCCCCCTGGACTCAACCTCAGTGTATCTAATCTGATTTCCTAAATATAAGCACAGAACTGGACAAAAATATCATGTACCAAAAGCAGAAAAACAAAGTCAGGAGAAGACAATCTTTCAAACTCTGTTCACATCATACACCTTATATATATAACACTTCTTGTCAAAGACAACTCATCAACCTACCGCTAAATTGTCATAAAAATGGAGAACAGACACTACATCTCACTATTATTTCTCCATATGATTTCTATTGTTCATCTTTGCAGATGATCAGAAACACTGGGTTAAATATGATCACACTAGTATTCCTTCTATTATGGTGGGGTAATTTTCAAACCAGATTTTGAAATAACAAATTTCAGAGCTCAGGAGATTCCAAACTTAAGCAAATGTGAAATCCTGTTTGTTCCTCTGATACAATTTATTATTTTCATATAATAATGGCTAAATTTTCATTAATTAGCTTGGAAATTAATGGCCTCTTACACATACCAAAATGCCCATTCTGCTTAAAAAAAAAAAAAAAGCTTCTTTGAAAAGTAGTTTGCTATAATTGAGTTAAATGCTTAGTGTTTTAATAAATTGATGTCAGTGTATTTGGTGAGCATATGTAGGACAACTGTGAGTTTATTTTTACTTGTACAAACTGTGCTAATCTGTAACGGGACATAATGAATATAACATTTATGAAAGCTATGTTCATATGGTCTTCTTGCATTTATAGTTACAGTAAGATTAGACCCCTTATAACTAAACATGAACTCTTCCAAATGAAAACTGAACACTGTAGCTAAATGTATTACCAACTATCTCTGGGAAAAGCAACTGTTAATGATATAGTACATTTGAGATTTCTCTTTTCCTTCTGCAAACCTGATGACGACTTTCAGAGGCGGTTTTATTAAAACATCCCTGGCACCATTAGCAACAGCAATTTATAAGTCTTACACATGAAAGAGAAGATAAAACATATTTTCTGCTAAGGGAAGTCTGGTTTGCCTGCTAATTGAGAAGCTGGTGAAACTATTCCATGTTCACATCCTTCTTACTCCCTCATTCCTGCAGTTCTGCTCATTTAGTCTCACTTATTGGAAAGGACTCAGAATGAAATGTTTTGGTCATTCTGAGTATGATACTGAACTAATGCTTAATCCTTGCACAGTTAATTATTCTGTGTTCCTGGTTTGCTCATGTACTGTGCATAGCCAAATGAACCACCCATGTACCTAAGGTGAGGTGAGCGATTCAGTGGTGGTTGGGGTGAGGTGGGGTGGAAGTGTTTACACTCTTACCACATATCATCTTTAATGACCAATTTCAAAGTTTCCTAATTTACTGCTTGCATTTACATTAGTTGTGCAACCTTTTAGGCATCAAAATAAAAATTCTGTACTGTACTACTGCTCAGAAGAAATTAACAAGGAATACGAACAAAACTTCAGTTATGCTTGTAACAGTTTATGAGTAACTATTTAACAGTAATGCAGAAGCATAATTTCCATGGACAGATCAAGAACTAAGCTTTCAGGCCACCAAAATTCTCTTGATTTGAACAGCAATGTTCCAAATAATATTTAATTCATTGCTTCTAAGTCAATGCTTTATTGTACCTTCCACTTCAATCTCATTAATACAAAATTCTTTCAACATAATCTCTTTTCTTCTGTAGTGGTAACCGTAAATTGCAGAAACAACTAGGTACAAAATTTTGCTTTGAAGATTGCAAAAGTTTTTGTGTGTGTAGATTTGGCACTGTGTTCGGAAAGCTATACAGGGAAAGCTGCCTGTCCTATATGCACACGCAAGGAGTAGGCAATGGGAGACAACTTGGCTGATCCCTGTTTCAAAGCATATCCTATTATTTCTCCCATGTGAGAAAGCGGTCAGGGTCTTGTAATTTAGAATGTCATTAAGAACTGTGAGGGAACTGAAAGCTTCAAGAAGCACCTTTACCTGTAGGAAAGATCTTTGTTGCCTTTGTCTTTTCTTAAACAAAGAGGGGATTAAGAGAAAATTTTCACCTTGCATAAATTTGCCAGGGAAAATTGTAGGCATTCAACACATATGGGATTTGGGTCTGTGACTTGCTGAAACCTCTCTTCTCAGAATCTCTTTTTGGGATTCTAATGAAAAGTAATTTCTCTACTTTTACCTCTTCTCTCACATCTGCAGAATGGTAAGAGTAATGCTTATTTTCCCTACATGGGGACTGACCAGCGCTAGATAAAACCTTATCTGTGCTTTCATGAGAAAAAGTGTGTATGAAGCAGCTAGCTAAACAGGAAAACCAAGTGACTGTGGTCAGTGTTTTTGCATTAAAAGCAATCTTTTCCTTGTATCAAACAAGGATAGTGGTGATCCCATTCTGGTTGAGAGTGTATTCAGGATACTGTTCAAGTGACAGCATTTCAGCTGCAGTTGAACAATATGTTTCTAATATTGTGACTCTTTTGAGAGTGAATGGTCAAAGAACAGGAAACTGCTGTCTAGTTTTTGGAATTTAGGAAAATAGTACATCAAACATTACTCCTTAATATCCCCTTCCTTGTTTAACCCAGCATTCAAAACAGACACAGACACACAGGGGTCTGTTTAGTTTTTCAGCTTATACCTTGTATAGTTGCTTACTAGCACACTCTGATTAGATTGTGTATTATGGTCACTTTGTCTTGTGGAAACAGTGCAGTGGACAGCATGACAGTGCACTGAGCACTATAACCTTTGGCCATATTCCCAACTTTTAACTGCAGCAGTTAGACTGTTTCGCTCCTGCTGTTCTCAAGCATGCTGCCTCACCCCCAGGCAAGACACACAGGTTCCAGTCATCACCACCATGGGATGGAGATTCAGTTTCTTGACAGCAGGCGTCAGGGTTCATCAGCTACAACTGAAATGTTCATGTCCTTGAGGGAATCCCAGCAGACTCCATGAGAGCCTTCAGTTCTTAGGTTGTGCACAGCACAAGCAGTGCTGGGAACATCTTGCCTGAGATAAAACTGCTCTCTTCTGAAGTACTTGTTGGCTCAGCTGGGGCCAGGAATTATCAATCAAATGAGTTTCTGAGTAAGGATCTGCTCTCCCAAGTCCTTCATCAAATAAAAAACTACTCCATCCAGTTTCATGTAGACAGTACATGAAGCAAAATAACTCCTATTTCTTCATGTATGCTCTTAACTAAAAGCTGTTCTTAATTGCATTATAACCCACAACAGTGAAATTAAAATTTTATTTCAGATGTAAAATAATTCTGTTTGAGTTCTTTAGCTGCTTCTCCTCATCTAATATGGAAAGAGTTTTCTCTTTAATTGTGTCTCTCTGCCTTCAAGAATGTTGAGCAGGCTTTAAAACATCTGCTTTTTCCAACTTGCCTCTTAACAAGTTACGGTTTGGACTAATTTTCTCTTTGGCTTATTTTTCTCTCTTGTTAGTTGAGATTATGAATGTAAAAAAGTAAGGAGGGCCACAAAGTCTGAAGGCCAAATGTGGGGAAACCAATAATCTTTACTAATGCGCTCTGTATAGAAATCTGCATGTATTTTTGCTTTATAGGTTTGCTTTTAACAGAAAGCTAGAAATTACAGAAAATAGAGATAGATTGCTATAATTTCAGTATTACTTAGTCACTGACTTTAAGTTAACATGTACTGTAATCGGCCCCACACCATACCCAAATAACTCTCAATAGACTTTTCCCCAGAGGAGGTGTGAGTACTTACTGAGGCACAGTTGCTTTCTGACTTGTCTTCCAGAAAGCCAATTTGGCATGGTGTCCTCTGATTCTGCAGCCAGTAGTCTGTTGATTCTAGCAGACTGTTACTGCAGAGAATCTGTTAAAATAATTAAAAATAGTTAAAATAATTTAAAAAATTATTCATTCCTACTTTGTTTTGGGGCCCTGAACTCTATTGTTGTAACTCAAAGGAAATCTTGCCTACAGAATTTTGGGGGGCAAGACTGGGACTCCTGTTCCTTTTGGACATGTACAGTTAATGCACCTTAAATAAAGGGATATATGTATCCCCTAAAGAATCAGCCTATTTTCTTTCAGAACTGAAAGTCCTTGGACATACTTGAAGGAGATACCCAAACCAAATATTTTAATTGGAAAATACTGCTAGGAGTTTTGTTCTGTGTTAAAGTGATAAACATAGACTCTGGGAAAACTAATTATTTAACTATACCAGAGTGTGCAAACTTGCACCTTTATAATTTACTATGTCTCTTTCCATCAGTAGTGTCCATTCTACCAGCAGCCTCCTTTCTGGGACTGCCTATGCTACAAACTCTTTGTTTTTCTCCTTTGTGAGGAGGTAAAGTACTTAAGACCTGCTGTAATGAGTACTGAGCAAGTCAGCTTGCATTTAATCACTCTGTATTGACTCAGTCCTATGGCTTATGCCACAAGCTTTGCTCAAACACCAAAAGGGGCTTACAGGTATCTGTGGACTCAAAAAAGGGAAAGCCAGTTTTGCAAGTCTGATGTTTAGATTGAACTGAATTCCTTACTTGCTGAATCTGTACTATCTTTGATCAAAAAGTGTGACTCTTAGTATTTTTAAAACAGCTAGGTAACAGCGGGTAAACAAGAGCTGTAACGATGCAACTCATAGAACATTTCGTGCGGCTTATTGTCATCTTCGGGCAGCAAAGTTAAGAATTATGTTTGTGAAATGGATGTATATGTTATTTGTGCTTCTTGCAGTTCTTGTGTTGCATGGAAATAGGCTGTACTCTAGCTCTCTAGCCTTTAATTTTAATAATGTTATTTTAAAATATGAATTAGTTGCTCTACCTGAAAAAAAAATAAATCTATGCTCAGTACTTTCCTTTACATTGCTGCACATTTTGCTTTGACATGCATTTGTCCTACTCTAGAACACTTGACTCATAAGCCTTGATCCATTCCTCAGAAAGAGAAGTGAGAACTTGCGAGGCCTCTTAATTTCTCAAGGAAGATAAATGACTGTGGAAAGCTGATCAGGCCAGTTGACACAGTTTTCTAATACTCAGGGGCAATCCAGAAGTAAGCTTATTGCCACGCTCAGTCTAACACCCACTCCAATTTTTATCTTTCTGACAGCAAGCCAGTTAGATAATTAATACTGCATTCTCTGTGTTATTCTATATTGATTTCTGAATTGAAGTCAGCAGAGGATGGATAAGGAGGTAATGGGGAACACCATAGTCTGTAAGCTTGGCCTGCTTCAGTACCCTTCTTCAGTGCCCTCCACCATGATCCTTGATACTCCAGCCTTGCTATGGGATTTCTTCTAAAGAGCCTCTGATTATAAATTGAGGGTTCATAAAGTACTCAGAAGAAGTACTGTTCCCAAAGACTTTGTTCTGAGAATGACAAAGGCTCATGAACGCTTCACATCAACACCAGTCTCTTCAGAGAGACTGCTAGCTAATCTTGTTTACCAGTTAAATGACTCTGCACTCAATAAATTTTATAACCTCCTGTCTCAGTGAAAAAGATTCCTGCCACCATAACTAATGCTAATATGGAAAATAATATATCTCATCTCCCAAAGAAACAATTTTCTATTAGTGTTACAAATGATATATATATTTTTCTTTTTTTTTTTAAGGAATGTTTTCAAATGTGGAAATACTGAGCCTTTGCAAGTTGGTTTGTAAAATCTAGAATCAAGCATTTTTCCAAAATTTATCATCCAAAAATTACCATCATCTGGCAAATATTTATGGGTTTTCTTTTTTTAAATATGGGTTTTTCATAAAAAAAAATGGATTTTTTAAGAAGACTTGTTCTGGGGAGACTTTAGAGCAGTCTTCCAGTACCTAAAGCGGGACTACAGGAAATCTGGAGAGGGGTTTTTTACAAGGGTGTGTAGTGACAGGACAAGGGGGATGCTTTACACTGAAAAAGGGTAGATTTAGACTAGATATTAGGAAGAAGTTCTTTACTGTGAGGGCGGTGAGACAATGGAACAGGTTGTTGGTGCTCCATCCTTAGAAATGTTCAAGGCCAGGCTGGATGGGGCTTTGACCAACTTGGTCTAGTGGAAGGGGTATTGGAACTAGATGATTTTTAAGGTGTCTTCCAGCCCAAATTATTCTATGATATATCTGCACATTTGATTTCAGATTTAATCTGATTTTAGATCTTCTCATCCTCAAGGGCTGAAGTTCTAATTACCTGTTAAAACATAATTTTGCATATATAGGAAATAGTTCTCTTTAGCTCAAATAGCTTTTGCTGTTACAAGCAGTCTTGTTTCACTTCCTTAAAAATCAGAGTGCATTTGTCTTCAGCCTTAATCACTTTAGATCTTTTATTCCCAAATCTCAGTCAGTTTCTGAGAAACCAGAAATTATCATGTAGAAACAAACTTCCTGTCTCATAAGGACTTGCTGCACACACTCAATGTTTCGGAATAGCTAGATCATAGCAGATGTATATTGTAGATGATAAACCCACAAAATGAGCTGGGCATAGAAGCTATGTGAACTTTAGGGCATATTTCTTTGGTAAGACACCAACGTTATCACAGTCAAAGACAAACATACAGTAAGAATGAATGTAATATTGCATCTTGCTATTGTGAGGCAATTTTTCCTGTTGATGAGGTGCATGTGTTTATATAAAATGAGAGTTTGCATATGTATTAAATCTTGGTGGAATATTCATGTTTTTAAAGTCCTTATGCTGAAGTCCTTATAGTAAACTAATGTATGACTGTAATGATCGAAAGTTGAAGGTGCTGGTCTAAATTGATAGGGCTAATTAATCAAATACAATGTGAGAACTGGTATCCCTCAGAGATGTAACTTTATCAGTACATTCAGATTGCCATTTTTGCATATAAGCATATTTTCAAAATATACTGAGCTGATCTGTACCAAAGGGTAAGAAACCTAAACCCGTACTACTTCAGCTGTCAGTCAGCATCCTTCTTTATGTAGCCTGAACTTTTAAGGCAAACAGTATCACTGGCCAAAATTTCCCCTCCTATCTTATATTTCATTCTTTTCTAATTGAGACAAGTTCTGGGCCAATCTCACTCACATACATTTTAGCAATTTTGCTGAATTCAGCAAGGTTGCTTCTGATTTGCAAAAGTACAATTGAAAGCAGAACTGTATTCATTGACCATACTTATGTGTAACAGCTGCACACACTATACTGCTGTATATCTGGTTCAGAGCAGGATCATCACACTTGGCAAATAATTCAGGATGAATTTGCATCATGCACTAAATATGAAATCAGCAGTAATTCATGGTTCTAAAAAAAAAGTTTTCCATTATTATCTAGAGACTCAGCCGTCAGCATTACTCAGTGTGTTGTGAATCAATGAACTAAATCAGCCTCTAGCAGTGTGGATTAGAAAAGTCATTCTTTCCCAGAGGAAAATATTGCATACAAGTTTAGTGTAACAGCTTCCTGCTCCCTGATTTAGATCATAAGACATTAAAATACAGTAAATATCTATAACCGAGACAACATTAGAAAGGCTCTGCTCCACAAATGAAACATCTGCGCCTTCATGGCTTATCAGCTTAATTGCTTTGGTTAATTACTACTCATCAAAAAAAGATATGAAAGTGGGACATAGAGAATAAGACGAGATATCAAGGGGCACATCTTCTACAGTTTTTCAGATTGGTCTGTATTCTAGTAGGCCACATCTCATATGGTTTCTGACAGGAGCCATTCATGTCAAATACAATTACTCAAACCTGCAAGTCAACTGTGTAAATTGTTCCCTTGCAGCAGCAACCCATAGTGTTCCACGCCACCACCAATTACACATCTAACTTAAAAAATCACTAAAACTAGCAGAAACTAAAAGAGAGGGTAATGGGCTATTTTTCATAATTTTTCATCCTTTTCCACACACACACACACACACACAAAAGAAAAAAGGCAATGATAACACATTCTGTGACAATGCTGTAAAGAAGCCCAAAACATCCTGCTTTTTGTCAGAAGAACTGGTAGAAGCGAATCACTTCTTTTACTTTGCCAACAATCATAAAATTGACTTGCGTTACAATAAAAAGTTAAAATCTAAGGGGTCAGACACGTGAAGCCGCTCAAAATCTTGTGGTAAAGGCTAGACTTTAAAAGAGAGGTGTTTCTGAAGGTGACCAAGCTGGAAGCATTTGTAAACACAGTGGTGTAGCACTTCAGTGCTGGGCCACTGTCCTTCAGTCTTACATAGAATAGACAACTCTGAAACTAAATTAAAATCTAAGATCTCCTCCCACACAGTGGATTTTCTGCCTTTTTCTGCCTATATGAAGATTCCAGTTACAGTCAGCAGCACTTTTTTAAAAATCAGGTACTTTTCTGCAAAGAAACAAACCCTTTGACCAAATGAAATATTGACACTTTGTCTTTTTCCCATGTTGGGGGGACTCAGAGAAGCTCAGTCCCAGTGTACACATCACTCTGTTGAGTTCTTTTTTATATCATGATTTTACATTTAAAAAAATTTCTGCAGACAGGCAATACTCACACCCCACAGCCACAGTGTGGTTCTTCAGGATGATGAAGATAAATCTTTACCTTCTACATGTTTTATCTTTCTCTCTCTCTCTGCTTACATATATAAATATATGTAGTTGTTCTTTAAACAAACAAGCAAACAGACAAAATCACCTAACAAACCACAAATGGAAAATGTTATTATTACTAGTGGAAGGAAAAGAGAAAGAAAGGATTGTGGGAAAACTGAATGAAATGTGAATTTTTATAACATTTCTGTGAGAACAAATGCTTTCTCATCAGTTCTAGAATTATGCCTGTGGGAGAAAATAAATCTCTGAGGATTATTGCAAAGTGAGATATCAAAGATGTCCTGCCCTCCTTGGCAGGTCTTTGGTAGTGCCTCTTTCCCTCAGACTATACAGCCATAATCTGGCGCTGCAGAGAAGGAATAAAAGCAATCATCCATGGTCTTCACCTGTGTCTTTCCAGTTGTACTGAAATTACCTACATACACAAAATAATGTCAGTCATATCTGGCTCCTTCTAATTACATACAAATAGGCATCTTCCCTCCCCCCCCCCCCCCCCAAATTACATAACTACATATAAATCTGTTTTGAGGCAACAAAGCCAGCATCAGTCATATCTATATGACCTCCTGGTTTGCTGAAAACCTTCCCAGTCAGATACGAGGGAAGGCAGAAAAGCTGTTTCATGAAGGACCCCTCCATTGTATGGGCCTGAGAGAAGCAAAGCTCTGGACCCTCAGACTGGGTCCCAGAAACTTGCCACCTATTGAAGAACAGTCCTGAAGGTATTCTTTCCATGCACTGCTTTTATTTCATATACCCAGTTAATGAGGGAAAACAGAAATCTGCAGGGGGAGATTATCTCCCATATATGTGTAACATACTTTAGGACCAGACCAGCATAGACCGGTAGGACAAAATTGCAAGATACTATAACAGCCCCCAAATTTATTTTTCTGTATCATTCTTTCTTTCTTAGGTATTGGTTAATTTTTGTGTTCTCCAATAATGACAAAAACTAAAAAGCAAAACTATAACTTGGGATGTATCTTCCTTTGAATATAACATAAACGTAGACATTACCTTCTTACATGCTGTGACAGAGCTTCCCAAACTGCTTGCCGAACTGTTTGTGCTGCTGCCTTGGTGCTCTGGAACTTCATGCATCAGCGGAGATTCAAAGTTGCTGAAGAATAAAAAAGAAACAGATACCCCAAAACCTTTCCAGTGACTCAGCTACATAGACACCTCAACTGATAGCAAAATGCAGTTCAGTAAAGAGATGTAACCTAGGTTATAAGAAGCTGTCTATACTCTCCTTGCTGATGTCACTAGCCTATTTATTACTTTTTGTTTGTTGGTTTTTTTTTTCATTTTGGAAGACTCTCCTGAGCTACATACTTTGGATATAAAATAGCAGACCAATGTCTTTTGAAGATTAGAGGATAGCATACGGCTACCTATAATCATATCTGCCTCTCTTGAATGACACTGTAAAAAGTGGTACTAGCTTGTTTTTACAAGCAGGCATCTTGGAGCAGCAAATAAAATCCTCTCTGCATTAATTAGCTCGGTAGAAAAAAGAAATGTTTGCTGCATTTTTATCTGCCTGGATAGAGGTCGAGGGGTAGTAATTAAACTGTAAAAACCACAACAGGAGTGGTTGAATTCTGTAATCTAGATGGAATACCTTGATAGATAGCAGGTTTAGAGCAAAGGTAAGCCATGCACGTTCTCTGTTTTGAGAATCAGTTACTTACAACAGAGGTGACAATATTTGCTTTGGGACTGTGCAGATGTGAAATACAAAATCAGAGAAACAAGTTCCCCCAGCCAAGTCATTTGCATGTACAGTTGGTACCACCCTTCACACTTATTTTGGAATAGCTCAGGTTAGTCTTGTAAGATTTCCTTCAATGTAACAGTCTGTCCTGGGTTCAGCAGTAGCAGTCATTTTTCTCCTTCTTAGTAGCTGGTGCAGTGCTGTGTTTTTGACTTTCAGCCTGGGAACAGCGCTGATAACACTGATGGTTTTAGTTGCTGCTCAGTAATGTTTACTCTGACCAAGGACTTCCTGAGTCTCATGCTCTTGCCAGGGAGGAGGGAAAGCCAGAAGGAAGCAGAGACAGGACACCTGACCCAAACTAGCCAAAGAGGTATTCCATACCACAGCACGTCATGCCCAGTATATAAACTGGGGGCAGTTACCGGAAGGGTTAGATCACTGCTTGGGTTGGACTAGGTATAGGTCGGCAGGTGGTGAGCTGTTGTATTCTGTTCCCTTGTTATTTCCGTTATCATTATTATTATTATTGGTGGTAGCAGCAGTGGTTTGTGTTATACCTTAGTTACTGGACTGTTCTTATCTCAACCCGTGGGAGTTACATTCTTTCGATTCTCCTCCCCATCCCTTCGGGAGCTGGGGGGAGGTAGGGGGTTGGGGGTGAGTGAGCATCTGCGTGGTTGAGTTGCAGACTGGGTTTAAACCATGACACAGTCATATTGTTGTAACCTTTCCAAAGCTTTTCTTTCTGGACATGATGTGCTTACAGTTAAAGACGACTCAGTGCTAAAGGGGTATTTCTCCAGAAATGTACTAGGGAAAGAATGCCCTACACATTCAAGTTCTGCTTCCCAAATTGGGTCGCTAGAGTGCTTTTAATTTATTGCAAGCCATCTATGAGAAGATATGGAACACATTGTGATAGACCGTAACAACCAACCATGGCTTAATAAATAATCTTTCATCAGTTCCAACAGGCTAACAGACCATGTGCAATTTCCTTGTATGCTCAATTAAAAAATAAAACGCATTTTCATAAGTCACCTTTGCTGGAGCTTAAGCCAGTATGTTAAGAGTAGGCTGCTTCTACTTTTAGCCCCAATCCATCAGTAAGGCTACCCTTCTCTTAAAGATTGTATATGTATATTTCACCTGATACTGCTTAGGACCAGTTACGAATATAGGACCAGTTACGAATATAGGACCACCTGTGAACTCTCGCTGATAAGTAACTTTGTCAATAAGAATTTTGTTGATATATGTGGTGTTATTCTGTAATTATTACTTTTTAAAAAAGTATCTGTATGTGCTAGATCTAGAGCAGTGAATGAAAAACATAAAACTAACTTAGCACTTATTAATTGCTAATTGGGAAAAAGCTTCCTGAATTGCTTGGGAGGATTGAATACAGATGCAGAAGTGAGACATGTAGGTTAATTGACTTCACTTGAAAAGTGTGATATCACTTAACACTTTCTAAGATACCAGCAACATTTTTATCTAAGAGGCAGACTGTTGCCTGTTTACAAAATTCTGCTGTAATGCTCATACTATGTAGATAAATGGTAAATTTTCTGGGCAGTAATTTTTCCGGCATTTGACAAAGCAAAATAGCATTTTATAGGCCTTATACAGAACTCTTTAACAAAATAAGGGACATTAAACATATGAAGTTGTTCTGATTTTCTACCTTCATTACAAATAAACTGACATATTCAGAGGGTCAGATATTATAAGTAAGTAAAGTACTCTCCTTGGTAAGTCTAGCCTCTGTACTGAGTACAACTCAGTACTCACAGAAGCAGCTGTGCACTGCCTCTTTTTATAAGATGTATCACTTCTGCAACCTAATAGTAAATTACAAATGAAGTCTGAAGGTTGAAGTACAAGAGCCATTGTTTTCTCCTGCTCTTCACTGAGAAAAAGACTGAGTGGTTTTGCCATTGCTTTGCCCTACAGGGAGTTGATATGCTGGTAATGTCTGTTGGTTCTGTTACACTGTGTGCAGGGAAAGGAACTTCTAGTGCATCAAGTGTTGCTGAGTCTAAAAGCAACAAAGATGATAGCATGGCCACTAACCGAAGGTCTTTTTTGGACCTTAATGAAGCAGTGCAAATAAAATATTTGTAAATTAAAGAGTAGCTGGAAAATATGGTTGAGGAGTCATGTTCTGCAGTATAAATAAATTTGTGCTATCTCTGGATGGTGCTTCAGTAAAGGGTAACACATTATGTGTTCCATACAGAAGTTGTCTTCCTAGTCACATGGAAAATGAAAAATATCTTTAAAATCTTCTTAATCATTCAAAATCTGTGTTGTTTCCAAAATAAGCCCACTCTTCACTTGTAAATATAGAAAATTTTGTTAAAAGTGCATGATGAGTGAAATAAATGTTACACACCCCAGTCTTCCATAACTCAGGAAGGTGCAGGATATGAGGTTCTGTCTAGATACCTTTAGATTCATGGGTCTTTCTTTCAACATGGAACATAGGTTTTGCTTTGCAACATCTCTTTTTCAATTATCCCAGATCAAGGTTTCTTCTTCTCTTTCTTTATCCCCTTCTAAGCTTTATTTTTCAAAACTTATGTGATTTTTCAAGAGACCCTCTTCAGGCCATACAGCTCTGCCACCTTCGCTCTGCAGCAAATCCAGTAAGATAAACCTACTTTTCATTAACTCCCCAGAGAAAAACTATTCTGTCTTTGAGAAGCTGCCTGCTCTCATTAGTTTCTCGACAGCAGGAGGCTGAAAGAAACTGCTGTGGAGATGTAGTTATCTCATCATCAAATGATAGCTCTGTATTCACCTACTATGTTCATTACTTCACGCTAAGAGTTTATACAAAGCTCTAGTCTTTTTGAGACTTGTAAGGCATATGGTAAAGATCTGAGCCTTTTCAGTATAAGATAAAGGAAGCTGCTTAAGGCTTTAGGTCCTAATTCTCACCTTGCATTGGATTCCCTTGTTATGTGAAGGAGAATGCTTATCTGACTTGGATGTGCTCATCTGATTTGGAACTATCACTGCAGGCCGCAGGCATAAGAAGCAATCTCTGTTAAAGGATGGCTCATGTGAGAGATCCTAATTTACAATTTAGTTTTTGAAACTGAAGGTGGGAACCTGGACCTATGACCCAGTGTTAAAAAATACAGCATTTTCACATTAATATTTCCTTTACCAGAAAAGTCTCCACGGTCTCATTTGCCACCAGGTGCTGCCTTACTGATTCATGAATTTGACGGATACTTTTCTCTTACAAAGCTAAATGCTCTCATGAAAAATACAATTTTTTTTTTTTTTTAATTAGAGGATGGTAGCAAATAGTTACAGGGTTTATGGCACTAACTGCAATAATATATCCTTTATTATTGAGCAAAATGCAAAACAGTTGCCTCTATTTTCCTACTAAATAATTAAAAAATACTGACCTTGATGACTCAAGACTCAATAAAAGAAAAGCCCAAAACACCACATCTTCTCCTAAAAACAATTAGCTTCTTTGCAGATGTGGCAGATGGTGCTACATCAGCTAAGATAAGGCAATTTGAAGAATTCCCCAGGTTATCCCTAAAGAAAATTAATCTTGTGAAGCAATATCAGAAACTTCAATTTCCTACCATCTTGCACAAGCATAACCAGCTTCCAAAAATTTGCTGTGCAATAATCTTTCCTAAGGAGCAATTTCAATAAATAATAAGTGACCATTACATATAATTTTTGAACCAATCCTATCATAGCCTAGTGCTTTTCATCGTTTCATTATGATTCCTAATCTCAGCATTTTGAACATATAAAACATACTGATCCATGCAAAAGATAATCTTGATGAAAGAAGCAAAACTGAATGAACACTGCAAGGTTTGTCAGTGCAGTTTACTCCAAGCTATAGCTGTCTACATCTGTAATGTTTTGCTAATATTTGTACTGAATACCATGAACAACAAAAAAGGGCATGAATTTCATTTTGGAATAGAAATTTGAGACAAGTGAAAACATGGTAAAATACCCTAGCATATTCTTACCTTTGCACTCACAAATGTATCTGAAAGCTTCTCGGAAACTGAGGAAGGCAGCTACGTTAATCCAGACACTAAGCAAGCAGCAATTTTAAAAGGCGTGCAACATTCAAAGAGCATCCCTTAACTTCAAAGCCTTTTTGAAGTGGACAGACTAGTCACACTCTTTCTTCATGCTACCTTTAAGATTTTACAATTAAAGTTTCACCTTTACATGTAAACAGGTCGACAGTTACTAGCAGTAAAATCTTCGGATGTAGCAGTGTCAAAGTTACTATTTTAATCCATATAATAGTTTTTTATTCAGTCTGAACCATGTGTATACTTCCATCATAGCACAGATGGTTAGTCAAACAGAAGTTCTATAAATACCTCAAACAAATG